AATGATTTTTCTCTGGAGGGAACTTCTCTGCCCTGTCAAATGCAGTCCTATAGAGATACAGGTCTACTGGGAAAAAAACAGGCTTCCAGACAAAAGCCATGGTCAGTGAGTCTTTCTGAAAGCTCACCCTTCAGAAGATTCTAGTATTGGCTAACATTTTATGGCAACCTTATGAGATACCCTGCAACACTGAGTTAATCCACTCCTGAATTCCTGCCCTTGGAATTTACAGGAGATCATTTTTCCACGTTGCACTTAAAAAAAATCTGTTACTGAGCAGTAGAAAACAAGTCCACTTCCCATAATCCATTTTCCCTTTTTCTTTCAAAAGGCACCACTTTTTCCTAGCCTTGAATATAAAAACTACCTTGTATTTCTCTATTTTTTAAGCCCAAATTACTATGTTTAGAAATTGCGAGAAAAAAATTATAATGATATAATGAAAATCACAAAACTTCTCTTTCTGCACCCTCTGCCTTGATTGGTCCTAGGGATAGATCCAGGGGGAACTGTGTGATTTTTGTATCTTTTAGCTTAGATTTTAAAGCATGTACTTCTTACAAACTGAGACTAGTGAAAATTTTAAGTTCCTCAGCTCAGGGCTAGGGAAATAATACAGCAGTATGGTAACAGAATTCTGAGATATTCTCTCTCATCACATGAGAAAGAACACTGAGGTGGAAAACCTGTATTTAAGCCTCAATGACCTTTTACCAGCCATGTGGAATCCAATACATCTCTCAATCTTTGAGCCCCTCACAGGGTTGTTGTAAGGGTGCACGATGCAACAAATGCACTCAAAAGCCTTTGTAAATGGTAAAGTACGACCCAGAGTTTGTTCTTTCTTAGGAACAACAATTCCACTTTCAGGACTTTCACTGCATTATTCCAGGAAGATGATGCTACTTGATCGAAACACAGGTCTTTTTCTAATAAAGGCGAGGCAAACCTATCTCTTTTCACTGAGTTCCTTTCTTAACTAATGGCACATGTTTGTGAGGCAGCTTTCCCCCAGACTGGGTGGTAGTCTCTAACCACACAAAGGACAGTAAAAAGGTGGCTAGTCCACCAAGTCCTATTACTAGCCTATCCTCCAACACAGCTTCCCAACTGGCATGCCTGCTGACCACCGCCAGCAATCCCCTTAGCCCACAGAATGGCCTGGGCCATCTGGAGCCCCTGAAGCAGGTGTAACAATCCAGTCCCAAACAGCTTTGTTGGCTTGCCCCAAAGTATTAAACAAAATGAAAGGGTTGGGAAAATACTGTAGTCTAACCAGCATGACTAATTTGAATTCTGAATAAAATTAAATTGGTAATAATGATTAATAATATGTTTAAAGCATTCACCTTGTGCCATAAACGTGTGTGTGTGATTCAAGTTTTTTTAATTTAAGTCACCTCCACATCCAATGTGGGGCTCAAATTCACGACCCAAGATCAAGAGCTGCTCATGCTTCCACCTGGGCCAGCCGGGCACCCAGATGTGTCTGTTTTGAAAATTTAGACTCAGTCTTACAACAATTCTGCACAACAGGTTTATATCCTTTCCCAGAAGATGAAACCAAGACCAGACCTAAGTATAGCTACCATAAATAGTAGCTAAATTTGGAATTCACATCTCCCTATTCTAAAGCCACCTCTGGCAAAAGAAAAATCCCCAACCAATCATCATCTCATAAATACAAACATGGGGGCGCCTGGGTGGTTCAGTGGGTTAAAGCCTCTGCCTTCGGCTCGGGTCATGATCCCAGGGTCCTGGAATCGAGCCCCGCATCAGGCTCTCTGCTCGGCAGGGCGCCTGCTTCCTCCTCTCTCTCTGCCTGCCTCTCCGCCTACTTGTGATCTCTGTCTGGCAAATAAATAAATAAAAATCATTAAAAATAAATAAATACAATCATGAATTGTTTTCTACTAACCCAGAATCTGTTTTCTCTCTCCTGTTGACTAGGCTTTTTTTCACACTACCAGCAGAAATTTACCTTTGGCTCCCTGCATATATTTTCCAGAAAAGTGACTAACAAAATCCTTTCTACAGTGGCTGCCTCTAAGGAGAGAGAGAAGGGATTCAGGGGTAAAGCTTTAACTATACCTGTTAACTTAATTCTCTTTTAAGAGGATAACAAAATGAAACAAACCAAAACCTGAAACAAGGCAAACTGTTAATGTCTGCTTAATTCTAGCAGTGGGTGCACCGATGTTTGTTATGTATTATTCTTTGCCTGCTAGTATGTTTGAAATGTCTCACAATTAAACGTTTAAAAATTCATTACAACAATTCAAGTAAAATCGCTTTCAAATTATCATACATACATTTCTGTGGTTATGAAATAAATTGTTTAATTTCTTTATACCAACAAGAGAATGAATCAAAGTGTCACTCCTTTAAACTTGCCAGTCCTACCTCATATTTAAACATTTACACGTCTAAGTACCAGTATTCTCATAACAAGTTTCCACACCTTTAGTCACTTTGATTCATGCTTTTCAGACACAGCCCCTTGCCTGTGTCCTTGCAACATCTTTCACAACTCTTGGTAATGGCTCTGGGGACGCTGGGGAAGGCTTCAGAAGAGAGAATATTGGAGCAAGAACTGAAGTGTCGATAGGAGTTTGCCGTGCAGACAGTGGCCACTCCATGCAGATGCAACACCACAGAGATATAAAATAACTACTTGCATCTTACTGGTTCATAAAGCATTGAAAAATAAGTTAATTTGGAGATGAAGAGGGTTAAAGGAGAGTACAGAGGTAGCTGGTACTGCTTACAGATGGGCTGGAGGGATGGCTAGAGGCCAGATCATAAAAGATCTTGTATGCTGCAGTAAGTCTGGGATTCATCCTTCAGGTTAGAGGCCTCCCCAGGAGAATGAACTCATTTACTGAGATTTGAAGAAAATATTGGAATTTATTTTCACAATTTTTTTGCCCCATCCTTTAATTTTTGTTTCATAATATACAGGAATACATCATGTACATATCAGGGGCATGTACTCGAGGTTCATTTTGGGGAGGGCTCCATGATCAAGAACCTTGAAGATGGTATCTTTGGGCAATGGCAAGTTGACAAACTCTTTCCTTCCCATGTTACCTATTTGCTAAACCCTTACTTCTCATCTATACTATCTTGTTGCCAAGCCTAATGCCACAGCATTGTAACTCCTCTCCTGTTCTTTCCCCTGCCTTCCTTACACCGTCGTAGGTATAGGAAGGCAAAGATGACTCACTCCCATCACACGTGTTTCACCCAGCACACATACCGGGACGGAAATACGGAGGGGATGTAATTCGGGTTTGGAAGAGAGGCAGAGGAGGAAAGGCTTCCCAGAGGAGCTTGGACTCTTTTAAGGCACTGAAAAGCCCAAAGTAAAACCCTTCTGGGAACAAGCACAGAACTTGCATTTTTAGAAAAATCACTTCCGGGAATCAGGAAAAAGCAATGAATGGGCAAGAAGTCATCCGGGAAGAATCAGAGCAGACTACTGTAATAATTACATCACTTTCTTTGACCTTTCTTTGGTCCTCAATATATAAAATAAAAGCAATAAATGAACTCTTCCTCATCTAAAGAACCCAAGAAAGCACAGGAAAATCAGGCTGCAAACAATTAGGGAAATAAGGAGGTACGGAGGGTCAGAGTGTCCACAAAGCCAATGGAGAGGAGAGCGTCACCGAGTAGCTGATACGACTAAAAGTTAAACGCGTCAGGAGGAGGATTTCCCAGCGCTCACTGGGATCGGGCAGTGCTGGCGACGCCGTCGGTGCATCAGAGCAGCCGTGACACATGCCTGGCTACAGCAGGTCGGAAAGTCGACAGCACTTAGGGGCACAGGGGACGCTCCTGCTCTGAGGAGTCCGGTCACCGGGTGAGGGAGTGGCAGGGGTGCGGCCGCGCACGCAGGTGTCCGCGCGAACCGAGCGCCGCGATGAGCAGAGGGAGCACGACAGAGAGACCAGAACCACCGACGGGGACGGCGGCACCAGCTCAGCCGGAGGGCTCAGCCTTACTTAACCAACCAGTGAGTACACGACCTACCGCGCGCAGCCGAAACTCTCACACCTTCTTTTTCAACGTCTTCCAGCTACTTCTCCTCTCACACCCGCGCGCCCTCCCCTCACGTCTTCCCGCGCGGCTCCCAGCGCAGCGCTAACGCCCGCCCCCGGGGACGCACGAGGTCCGGCTCCAGCGCTCCCCGCTCTCCTCCCGAAGCCCCCGCCGGCCCCCATCGCCTCGGCGGACCCGGCGCACTTCAGTCCGCGAGGGCCGGTGGCGCGCGCCCGCGTCCATGCATCCACGCGCGCACGGCCCCCGACGGACGACCGCGGTCGGAAACGCGGCCCTGCTCCGAAGCCGAAGCCAGCTTCCCCACCACGCCGGCGGCAGCCCCTCGGCCGGGCCCGCAGGGCGCAGCCAACACGCCGAGTGCGCGGCAGGGACGCGCGGCGCCGGCGACAACTCGAGCCCACCCGGCTCCCGAGCGAGCTGCACGGCCGCGGGCTCGGACACCTCCGACAGCTCCCCACACGCCCTCCCTTCGCGCCTCACACAGAGCAGTGAACGCGACCGCAGGGAGCGCGGCTCCGCCCCAACAAGCCCCGCCAGAAGCCCTGCGGCAAGCGGCAGGCAACGGGGTGCGGGGCAGGAAGCACCCGAGCTCTCCAACTTCCCCATTCCTGTCCCCCACGCTACGCGCGTCGCATCGTGTCACGTCACGTCAACGGCGCGGCGCGGCGCACGCCCGGCCCCGCCCCACCCTGGCCCGCTGCCCGCCAGGCCGTGCCGGGAGTTAGACAGCCGGAGGCTGTTCTCACGCACTGGTGGAAGGAGAGGCCGCGCTCCCGGCTCAGCACGGTGTCCCGGGTGCTGCAGCCCACTGCCGAGCAGCTTCGGGTCATCTTGCTACGTGGGGCTCCACTTTGGGTGCTCCCGCGACCGCATTAATCGCGACAGTTTTGGCTCCGCCCGCGGACTCGGCGGCTACGACCTTTATTTGTCGGAAAAGGCGGGCTCTTACGGCGCAAAACTCCTACCCTTCCTCTTCGGCGGCGCTGCGCTGGGCGCCGTGACCAATCACAAGCCACGTCGTGCCGCCACAGCCAATCGGAAAAGCCGGGCATTAAGACGAGCCTTTGACGGCCCCTCCCTCTCGGCTTGAGGGCGCTTCGTGGGTTTGGTGTTTGTGGCCTCGTTTTCGTCCTGTGTCAGCTCCGGAGGTTACATCCGATGCCATCGGGTTCTTGTGAGGCCGAGCGTGAAAATGCGGAGCGAAGAGGCAAGGGCGAAACCGAGGCGAATCCAGGGGCACGCGGATAGGGCCCGGGCGCGAACGCAGAAGCGCCCGGAGGGAGAGGGGGGAGAAGCGCAGCGCCCTGGAGATGCGGAGACGGAATCGGGCCCCCACGTCAGCGACCCCCGAGAGGCGGAGCGTCTCCCTGCGATCCGTTAGGTAGTGGCTTGATGTGGAGGTAGTGGAGGAGCTGCGGGTGTGCCTGGCCCGAGATCGGGGACCCGGAGGAGCTCGAATGACAGTGCGGTGGGGACACGTCGGCTTCACTTCAACGACCCCTTCTCCGGAGACCCTTCGCCCCTGTGGGGGGTGACGGAAGCCGGGTAAGGCCCTTGGGGCCTGGTGTGGTGGGGACTCGGGAGGGCAGGAGGGAGGGGACCGTGAACCGGCGGCTGGGATGGGGGGGTACCGCGGATGGCTCGAGGGGCGCGAAGGCCTTGGAGCGAGGTCTCGTGCGTCGTGGGGAGGGTGTGAGGCTGCGGTGCTCACCCCAGACCCGAAGTGGGGCGTCGTTCACGTCGGGTCCGAGGGCTGAGCCTACTGGGTGCCTTCTTCCTGCTGAACGTTGCAGTCCCGTTAGGGAAACAGAAATGTTTGTGCTTTTTATTCAGTTTATTTTCATTTCCTTCTGCAGCAGGCGAGAGTGATTGCAAACTTCCAGGCCAGATTGCTTTTTCCCCCCTTTTTCTTTGCTTAGTCCAGGTTACAGCCAAAAAGGTATTACTCGCATCTGCTTTTCCATTACAACATTCTCCTATCTTGTTTGAGCGAAATGAACAGCTTTTGTATATATATCTTTTGAAGTCACGTGGCCTAAGGATAGTTCTGAATTTGGGGAAAATTGATCCAAATCCAAATTGTGCAAAGGGTAGGACCTGGATTTAATTCACCTTCAGTTTGTTAGACTATTAGGAATTTTTCTAGTACTCAACCAATTAAGACCCCAAATAAGGCTAAGTAGAGATAAATAACAATTTTCTATTATCTTTTTTTTTTTTTAAGATTTTATTTACTTATTTGATAGATCACAAGTAGACCTGGGTTGGGGGGGGGCCTCGATCCCAGGACCCTGAGACAATGACTTGAGCCAAAGGCAGAGGCTTTAACACTGAGCCACCCAGGGGCCCCAGTTTTCTTCTTAAGGAAAAAAATTTTGCCTCCGTTTTTTGGGTAACCTTTTTACTGAGATAAACCTCATGTACCATACAATTAACCTTGTAATTAACCATTAACAATTGTAAAATGTGTACAATTCAGTACAGTTTAGTATATTCATGAGTTGAGCAACCATCACCACGGTCAGTTTTAGAACATTTTTATAACCACCCTCCTTCCCCAAAAAAGAAAACCCGTTCTCATTAACATTCACTTCCTCTGTCTCCCCTACCCTCAGTTATTGGAAACCACTGATTTTTTTGGTATAGATTTGCCTATACTGCAGATGTCCTATGAATGGAATCTGAAACTTAATATATGGTCTTCTGTGAGTGATTTCCTTTCACTTAGATTGTGTGTGTGTGTGTGTGTGTGTGTGTGTGTGTTTAAAGATATTACTCATTTATTTGACAGAGATCCCAAGTAGGCAGAGAGGCAGGCAGGGCGGGGGGGGGGGGGGGGGGGGGGCGCAGGCTCCCTGCTGAGCAGAGAGCTGGGATGCGGGGCTCCATCCCAGGATCCCGAGATCATGACCTGAGCTGAAGGCAGAGGCTCAACCCACTGAGCCCTCCAGGTGCCTCTTGCTTAGGATGTTTTTAAGGTGCATCCATGTTGAACAGTACTTCGTTTTTTTTTTTAATTGCCAAAAGATGTTCCAGTGTATGGATATACTGCTGTGATTGTATTTATCCATTCATCACTTAAACACCTGGGTGGTTTCCGTTGTGGTAGTTGTTAGGATAATTCTGCTGTGAACATTAGTGTACAAGTTGGTGTTGGGACATGTCTTCATGCTGAGTATATATCTCAGGGTGGAATTGCTGGGTCATATGCTGACTTATGTTTTAACTCTTGGGGAAATGCCAAACTTTTTCCAAAGTGGCTGGACTATTTTACATTCCCACTAGCAGTGGATGAGGGTTCCATTTCCTCCATGTTCTTGTGAGTGTGAAGTGGTACTTCATTGTGGTAGTTGCCCAATTTTTAAGGACTTGGGGTTTGTAGGGAACCTGCTAGAGGATGCTCCTTGAGTGTAGAAACAACGTCTAAGGTGAATTTGTCTTTATAGTCTCTGACACGCAAATAGATAATGTATGTTTTTTCTGTAACATCATATATGTTCGTGAAAAATACCTCCTGTTCAGAAAAATTGTGCATCTGAAAGGAGCCATACTTACAGGGAAAAAAGAAGATTAGCATTGACTACTCAAAATCTGTGCAATTTGATAATCTCTGAAATAGTGATCAGTACCTGGGGAAGTGCTCCTGTGCCCTCCTCCCGTCCCCTCAAATGTAATTTAAGTGGAGACTGCTGTAGGGTATATTAGAACAGAAGAACGAGCCTGGTGGATGCTAGACGTTGCAGAAAGGAAGTGGAGCTCTGGGTTACAGTGGGCTGCTGAATGGTATAACCTGTTGGGCGCCGGAGGGCAGGTGGAGGCTCTCATTTTTTACTAATTTAGAGTTGAAAGTACCCCTGCTGCCAGTTCAGCATCACAGTCTGGAAGAAGAGAGGGCTTTGCTTTCTGCTTAATTGGATTTCAGATGTTGTGGCCGTTCTAGGAAAGATAAAACTGTGACACTCATGTTATTCTGAAGGCATTCTTGTAATTATTCATTACAAACGAGTTACTGAAAACTATAGTGCTGCAAAACAGATTTACTTTAATGGTATAGACTGATTAAAAATTCACTTTATGAGAACCATGTGGGGTCACTGCCCTTGGTATTCTTAGTGTACTTCTTCTGGATAGGGAAATGTGCAGTCCTTCGTAAATGCGTATTTCTTCTTGAGTTGTATTTATGTTCTTTATATTTAGTTGTAACTTTTACATTTTTGTTGCTGTTTTGCTGGTGACATTGAGGTTCTCGGTTTGATCATTTTATTATCTTTGCTTCTTTCAATAACTGCATATCCAGTGATTAAACCTTTTCACTGCTGTTCACATAATGAACTGTTGTGATTATTGGATATGTAAATGAGGATATGTAAGCTGTTTTAAAGATGTTACTGCAAAAGGCATTGACCATTTATGCAACGTAATTTAAAAGAAAATACTTCTTTTCAGGAATTAACATTCTTGGAGATGTTGGAAAAAGATTCCTGGGCCTTCCAAGATTACTACTCCACATATACAGGGGAGGTAGCATATCGGTATGTATCTTTGTTTTATTTATTTGTTTATTAAGATTTTATTTTTTTATTTAACAGAGACATAATGAGAGAGGGAATACAAGCAGGGGGAGTGGGAGAGGGAGAAGCAGGCTTCCCACCGAGCAGGGAGCCTGACGCAGGGGGACACAGGGGGCTCGATCCCAGGACTCTCGATCATAACCTGAGCTAAAGGCAGACACTTAACAACTGCTGTCTGTTTTAAATAAACGCCCCTTCTGTTTTAAATGTACTAAGTGTTCCTGGAACAATAGTACTGAGTACTACTGAGTTGGAAATAGAGGATTGTCCAAGGAAAGATTTATGAAGGCTTTGGTAAAATATAATTTCCTGTCACAGAGTCTCATTGATTCGGTAGCTTGGGGGGAAAATAACAGCTAATGGTTATTGAACCATTACATGTCAGGCATTGTGCTAAGCATTTTATACACACAGTTTTGGTTTTTATAAACACTGTTTCTCACAAACATGAAACCAGATAGACTCTTTTTTTTTTTTTAATTTGGGGGAGGAGCTGCTAGAGAATGCTCCTTGATTGTAGAAGAAGCCCACCGCCCCCATTCCTTCTGCAGAGGGAGAAGCAGACGCGCTGCTAAGCAAGGAGCCTGGAGGCGGAGCTCAATCCCAGGACCGAGATCCCGAAGGCAAAGGCTTTTTTTTTTTTTTTTTAATGTTCACATTCATTTTGTTTATTTTTTTAAAGATTTTTATTTATTTATTGGACACAGAAAGAGAGAGAGAGTGATCACAAGTAGACAGGGAAGCAGGCTCCCCGCTGAGCAGGGAACCTTATGTGGGGCTCGAACCCAGGACCCTGGGATCATGACCTGAGCTGGAGGCAGAAGCCTTAACCTGAAGGCAAAGGCGTAATGAACTGAACTACCTAAGTACCTTGAAAGCAAATAGACTTTTTGCTTTCTAGGACTGGTATCTTCCTTATTAAACATCTACCCTTTTGTCAGATTCTTAACTAGTTCTAGAACCCTTAATGCTCTCATATATTAAAATGTATTTCTAGTTAACGGACACTCTTGCAGAATTTTTCATCTTTTCAGTTCAGAGAGCCTTGGGGTTTTGAAATTATTGGTGGCCAACTATAAAAAACTGTTCTAAATCTGATCCTTTTCCCAAGGGTTCTGGGATTGAGCCCCTTGTTGGGCTACCCGCTCAGTGGGAAGTCTGCTTCTCCCTCTTCCCCTGCTCCTGCTCTCTTTCCTTCTCACACTTTTCTCTCCTGTGTGCTCTTTCTCTAATTAAATAAAATAAAAGATTTTATTTTTGAGAGAGAAAGCATGTGAGCAGGTGGCAGGAAGTGGGGGAGGCAGAGGGAGAGGAAGAACTGAGCAGGGAGCCCAACACGGGGCTCCGTCCCAGGACCCCAAGATCATGACACAGGCCCAAATCAAGAGTTGGCCACCCAGGTACCCCCTACATTTTACTTTTTGAATATGGACTGTGGTCTTCTGTATTAATTATTTATTGCTATGTAAAAATAACCCAAAACTTAATAGTTTACAACAGCAAATGCTTATCTTATAGCAGAGAGTGGAGAGACGTCAGTTTCTTGATTCTCACTTGGCAAGTCTCAGTTCCTTGATGGCTCTTGGCTAAAGACTTCAGTTCTTCACCGTGTGAACATAGGCTGCCTGAGTATCCCCACAACGTGTCAGCTGGCTTCCACCAGAGGCAGTGATCTAAGAGAGAAATGCCAAGACAACGTGTAGGTGGGCACATACAGGGATGTGAATACCAAGGGTTGGGGAATGTTGAGGATCCTCCTGGAGGTTGACTGCTATACCTGACTCTTGTTTTTTTAATTGCTTCAGTTTATTGAGTCAAGAGTTTAGTATTTGACCCTCAGGTCAGATAATTAGAAGTATGAGAGTCTAGATCCAAATGAGCACTCTCTTTTCTAAGGTGCACAGTTTCTTGCTGGGGAATATATCAGTTCCATAAATCATGCTATAGTCCTTTTCGAAGTTTTCTAGGGAGTGTATAAGAAAGCTCATTTTATAGCTAGAATACTCTACCTTGATCAAATATATTTTTTGGACCCATTTCCCCTTTCCCGGTTCTTCTAGGTGGAGGTGGTTGGAGAAGCTGGAGGTAGACTGTATATAGAAGTACCTGTGCTATTTTGCTTGCGGTGCACACTGACTTGGTGGAAAATCGTGTTTCAAGTTTTTCAAGGAATGTAGTCCACAAATACTTAAAGGCACTTATTCAAATATTTGACATAGGATGGAATGAAGGTACAAATATGCTACAGCAGCTTTAGAGTAATTTGTCCTTTTCCTCAAAAGCTAGGTATTTATCCACTATGGTGAGTATGCTTTTCTTTCTTTTCTAAGTAGGCTCCACGATGGGCCTTGATCCCAGGACCTTGAGATCAAGACCCGAGCTGAGAGATCAAGAGTCAGACACTTAAACCGACTGAACTACCCAGGCGCCCCATACTTCCTTTCTTTCTGTTGCTGTGCTCCCTCCATGGTCTTCTGTCCCTCTTAATGAGCAAAATAAGGAATTTACCAAGCAATCAGAATCCCCATTATTGGCAGAATTCTAATTAGGGCTCAAGATTTTAATCTTTTGAGCCTTTTCCCTTTATCACTGCTTAAAAGTTGTTAGGAGGGACAGTTCTCCCCCTTTTCCTTTAAAGCCCACATGCTTCTAATGATTGGAGATATTGTCAAATAACAAAAAGCATTACATATAAAGATGTAACCAGTTTTGGAATGTATTTGTATTAAGCTATGATTATTCTTTCCTTGGCAAGCTTAATGTTGAGAATATATTTCTAAGTTAGCATAAGGTATCTATACAAAGTAGGTAAATAATACCCTTGAAATTATCTTTGGTGTGAGTTTTTTTCCCAATCGTAGTAAAATTGGAGGTCTTAACCTGTTTATGAGAATTCAAATTTATAGAAATGTGCATTTATTATGTGTTCTTTAAAAGGGGCGAAATCCTGAAAACCTTATGAGTAAAGCTTAAGCTGAAAATAGGAAAAAAATACAAATGTCCAATGATTAAACTTTTTCCACTGCTGTTCACATCATGATTTGTTGTGATTAATGTATGTGGATGAGGACATAATGGAAAAAGAAAACCGTAGTGGGAGGAAGAAAAGTATAGATGGGATGTAGTTTCTGTGTGTTGAATTACTTATTGTTTTCCCTTTTAGGAGTGAAATTGAAGGGTGTTTTTCTTAACATCATTTTGTCAGATTCATCTGATAAATGTGAACGTTTATATAGAAGGTAAGAGGTTTATTAATTTGCTAATTTTGACAAAAGAACAAAATAAGATAGCAGGTAACAGTGGATATTTGAGCATAATGTGGGTATCATACTCAAATTTTTTTCCTTATTTCATCTTTGAAAAATAATACAATTTTCTAGTCAGTAGATTAGATTCAGGATTGGCAATTGGGTGACTGGGATCAGGACTTTTAACCTTCATGATCATCTTTTCTCAAAAATAATAATGGAAGTCAGCCCCTGAAATTCTTTTATTTATTTATTTATTTAGACAGACAGAGATCACAAGTAGGCAGAGAGGCAGGCAGAGAGAGGAAGGGAAGCAGCCTCCCTGCTAAGCAGAGAGCTGGATGTGGGGCTCAATCCCAGGACCCTGAGATCATGACCTGAGCCAAAGGCAGAGGCTTTAACCCACTGAGCCACCCAGGCTCCCCAGCCCCTGAAATTCTTGGAGATCATATATTGCAGGGTTTAAATTTGCTGAACTTTTGGATGTTCTATAAATGATCTTGGATATGCTAATGAATGACCATCCTGTAATTTAAGCTTTATTCAAGAACAATAGATGGGTAGTCAAAGGCTGGAAATCTCAAATCTAATACCAGATTAATCTGTCAGGCATGTTGTCTTGGGGTGTTTCAAATCCGAGAAATAGATAAAAAGGAGAAGAATGTTCGCAAATACTCAAAGTTGATTTACATGCATTTTCTATTTTTACAGACCTAAAAGTTGATGAAAAACTTTTTATTTGCCTTAATGAAAAGATGTACAAAATAAGTGTATTCAGAAACAAAACTAAACCTTAATGAGATGGATGCTGTTACAGGAGTAAACATGGTGTCTGCTGAATGGTACGGAGTAAGCTGTAAACACAGTCTGGTGCCTGTGATGACTGTAAAGTTACGCAGTCTGGACAACAGTAGATTTGTCCAGAACTTTACTCTTTTGCAAACCTCAACATTATTGAAATGAGGGAGGGGGCCTAAATTCTGAAAAGGATGTCTTTGGACTGTCTGCAAACACTAATATGAATTATATATTACATTGTCTCCAAACATTTTTCTAGCTCCAATGAGTAATTCAATCTGGAACTAACATTCCTTTGAGAAAACCTTCAGTTTTTTATTTTGATCTAGGGTTATGTTTGGCTAATAGTTAAATTGGTTTAAAAGTTGACTATTTTGTGAATATAAGTTTTTCTTTTTAGATACAGGCAGTCTTTACTTTGCACCATTCCAATATACATGAAGATGAGTTTTTACAGTTAAGTAACACCAATTCCCCTACAACATGGTTGAAATTTCAGTTACTACAATAATAACCAAATTGTTGCATAAGCTTTTCTGAAGCTCTTTATTCCACAAATGATTATATATATAAAAGATGGTCAGTAACCACTTATAATCACTTCTTTCAGAAGTCTGTTGGTCAGTGATCATTGATCACTGAACATCTATCAGTTCACAAAGAGTAAAGCATGTAGTTGTGTTGCCTGTTTCCCAGTGATAAACTCCCCAACATTTTACAAAAATGGATCATCAAAAGAGGGAACTGGTCAACAAAGCTGACAGGGCAGCAAAGAGACAAAAATTGGTAACACTGGAAGTGACATTGGATGTCATTAGAAGATTGGAAAATGGTGACAGCAGAGCGAAGAAGAGACCTGGGCTGACATGAGCCTGTAGTACGAACTATCTTTTAACAGTTCAGTGAAACAAGAACTTTTAGGTAGAGTTGCTTCAACATGTTTTATTTTAAATTGTACTAGGACCAGAAAGCCATGTATGGTCGAAATGGAGTGTTTACTTCTACTTTCAACTGAGGGCTCTAATAAACAATCCCAAGCACTTTGGCTAGCATTCAAGCCAAAGTGTTGAGGTTAGTTGCTGCACTGAAGGAAAATGGTAGCTAAAAGGAGAATGAAAAAAACATTTTTCTGTCCATACAGGCTGGTTCCATCACTTCTAGAGTCGGCATGAATTGATTAACCTTCTGCTATCTGGCGAAGCTGCAAGCTCAGATAAGGTTGCTACTGTGAAATTTGCACCATTATTCCAAGAGTCACAGGCAGTCCTTTGCCCAGTATAAGACTACTGTGTTTAAAAAAAAAAAATACTGTGTGAAGATACAGTTGACTGTGGGAATGTTGACACTGCTACCATTCAAGCAGCAGTTCTAGATACACAACCGGAAGAATTTAGTGAATGTGAACATCGTAATAAAGGAGAAAAGCATTTGTGTGTTGTAAAGGAAGAATACGTTTCAGAGCAAGTGATGTGGGTGAAAAAACCACATTAAAGGAGCTCTTAGATATTTCATGACATTGAATGCGTAAGGAATTAAATTTTAGAAGCCGATCCAAACTCAAGAGTATGACTGTTTGCCAAGGTGTAGAGAAGATGCTTGCTCCATATTGTAAATTACGTGAGAAAGCAAGCACTGTTCAAACTCTTCCTGAGACTTTCCTGTAAATGCTATAATTTTCAGTGTTTCTGTTTTCAGTACTTTTTATATTTATAACCAACATCAAGAAAGTTTATGATGTTTGGATAAGTCTTAGGTTATGGAACAATCAAGATTATTAATCCTATAGATTGACTGCTTTGCAGTTTTAGTTTGCAGTCCACAGGAGAACTCCCTGCATTTAAAAGAGCTAGGAACTCTGTATTTAACCAGATATAGATTAAGCCTAGAAACAAACATACTTTATGATTATCAGTTATAATCAACATTTTTCATACTGCCTTTGTATGCTACTATGTTGAGGCTATTAAATAAATTTATAATTCTGTATGTCTCATACTTTTGTTTTGAATGTTGATCTGCTTTAGGTAAAATCCTCTAATGGAATAGGTGTTGCACACTTTTCTTGTAAAGGGCCATACAGTAAATACTTCAGGCTTTGCAGACTGTTATGGTTTCTGTGGCAACTACTCAGCTTTGCCTCTGTAGCATGAAAAGCACCACTGACAACACGCGAATCATTGAACGTGGCTATGTTCCAGTCATGAGACTTACTTCATGAAGGGCCTTGTTTACCTCACAGCCTACAAAAGGGGGTGGGGAGCAGGGAGCTTTATAGCTCGACTTGTGCAATAGGAACCTGTATGTTAAATGATACCAAAGAATGTAACCACTGCTTGAATCACTGGGTTTTAGTAAAGCTGTTCAAATGAACCCTCTCTCCATGCCAGTGTGCAATTCCAGGTAGTGCGGAGTTAGGTATTTCCTGTTGACTCCAATGATGGGCCCCCTTTAAAGTCGGATTTTTTTTTTTTTAAGTCTAATTTTTTACAGGCTCCTCTAGATAAACGCAGCTGTAGGCAAAACTGGCGTTGTAGAACACCAGAAGTCAGCTACTGTAACCTAAGTAATCCGTTTAATCTGTTTGTGTCCTAGAAAAAGAAAACTCGGCTTTTCAAATTAAAAGGGTGTTCCAAAGAGTGCGGGGGTAGGGTGCAAAACCCCTGCACTCCAGTACTTAGAAGTGGAGGCGCTTTAGAGAAGGTTTGAGGACTGATCCGTGTAACGAAGAGAACTGCTCCAGCAGTTGGCAGACCTGGTTCGGTCCGGGTTCTGACTGCCTACTAAGTGCTTTTCTTCTGGTTTTACTTCCTTTGCTGCAAAACCACTGAAGTGCAAACGACACGCAGGCAGCCCGCTCCTTTGGTGCCAGGGCCTGCGGCGAACCTCACGTCTCCAACGGCACCGTGCGTTGCTAACCGGCCCGCCTGACCCCTCCGCGCCCCTTCGGAGTAATAGGGTAGCATGTCCATCACGTCAGCAAGCACAGGCAGAGGGAGCAGCAGACTCCCGCTGCGCCGCGAGCCCGACTGGGGTCCGCCCCGGGGACCGCGACCTGAGCCATGCGGGTGCCCTCAGAGCAGACTCTAACCAGGCCGTTCAGTTTGAAGGAAGTTCTCAAAGGCGATACCCAGAACCAACCGTGACATCCTAAAAAGCCAGTCACACTCGTTCCGGCCGTTGGGGCCTGTAGCCCGACCTCTGCGTGACTCGGCCGGCGCTGCGGTGTCGCCGGGCTGCGCTCGTCCCCCGGCACTAACGCTACGTGGCGTCCCTGCGGGCCTCCGCCGTTCTCCGAAGAGACGGCTCCTCCCCGCAGCTCACCGCATCCTCGCCCCGCACGCCGCCCCTCACAGCCGGTCGCCAGGCCCGCAAGCCCGCAGGCCCCCGACACCCTCACGCGCACCCGTACTCAGCTCCGCCCGCCGCCGCTCCCGGAAGTGACGGGGCGGGCCGCGCGCCGGAGTGGGCGGGGCGAGGCGTCGCTCCCGGAAGTGCGGCAGCGGGCTGCGCGCCGGAGTGGGCGGGGCGAGGCGTCGCTCCCGGAAGCGTCGGCCGGCGGCGGGGAGGGGCTGCGGCTGCCACGTTGGAGCGGAACGTGGAGGTGGCCCTGGGGCGGGAGGAGGGGCGGCAGCGAAGCCTGGGAGAGTCCGACGGGCGTCGCGCGGACACGGGAGCCGGTCGCTGAGGGTCCCCGCCAGGTGTGTCCGTCCCTCTGCCCAACCCCCGGCCTTCGCCGGCCTTCGGGCCTTGCGGTAGAGCACAGGCGAGGGCGGGGAGCGCGGCGTCTGTCCCCGCCGGTCCCCGCCAGCCTGCGGCCCGGTCTGTGGTGGCGACGCGCCCCTGCTCCTCGTTTCGGGCCCGTCGGGACATCGCCTGGCGTCACGGCTGCCTCGGGCATCGCGGCGATCCACATCCGCCGGCGTTTCCACTGCGGAGCGGGCGCCCCCCTGGGGCTTCGACTGGGTGTCCTGCCGGGGCGGGCACCTGGGGTCTGGGTTAGACGCCCGCACACCCTCGGGCACAGAGAGGTGCGGGCCCCAGGGGGAGGGAAGGGAGCGAGCCCCGGGATCACTTGGGTTGACTTTGTGAGGATTTGTTCGTGTCTGAAGTGCTGCCGGGCTTGAAGGCTCGCGGTGGCGAACCGCCGGCGGCTGTCACTGAGCCGGGACCGGACCGCCTCACGGGTGGTCGCCGGTCTCCGCCTGCGCCTCGCGGAAAGCCGCTGAGTGTTGTCGGGCTTCCTCGGCAGTTAGCCTGAGGAGAGAGTCAACTGCAGGGTAGGAGTACAGCGAGCCAGAGGGTGGCAGGGGCGTGTGGGCGCCGCGAACTTCGCGGGGAGCGCAGGCGGCGGGATCGACGTCGGTCCCCGCGGTGGCGGCGACGGGCTGCGGTGGTCTCCTCGGCAGTCTCTTCCAGCCGTGGGTCCTGCGGTTTGGCGGTCTTTGTCGCCGTTCGGAACTGCGTCCGGTCGAGAGGGAGAGGCCGGGTCTTCACCACCCGTCCCAGGTCTTCTGTGCTGACCGGTTGTGGGGGCCGAAGTCCGCTCGGTTTCCGTGCTTCCCCGGGCTCTCTGGGACCGCCCCGGGAAGGTCCGCAGGCCCCAAGAAGAGATAACGGAGTGGTTTTGTAGTTGTGAAGTCGCGTTACATCAGAAGTTACTTCGGAAATGCGAGGTCGGAATGGATTTGGGGTTCTACTGCTTGGTTTTAGATAAGCAGGTTCTTTTGGAAACGAATAACGTAATAACAAAGATATTTGTAACTGTAAAGAGTAGCGACCCTTAACTTTATGAAATTCCACTCCCCTTTTAGGGTCTGTTGAAGCATTGGACGACCTTCCTAGAAAAATGCGCGCGCGCACACACACAGAATTTTCTACGTAATTTCATGAGGTTTACAGATGCCAAGTTAAAAATTCTTATCAAGTGATATTATTAAATCGATTTTTACAGTGTTTTTAGAAATGTGTCATTCTTAGGTTAATTTCAGCTCAAAAGATTACTTATTAGATTCTGGGTAAGTATGACAGTTAGTTCTTTGATTTGGTTTTGGTTGAATGAGATGCGTCTAGAACGTTGATAACACTAAGTAAATCCTCTAGAACAAATGTGCCCATCCGTAATAAGGCATTTGCCCACACAGATGGGCAAATACAGTGTTTTTACCAAACACAGTGCCTGGTAGGGATTGTTTGAGAGTAAGAGTTTCCAATTTTTTTTTTACTCTTCCAGTTTTTACTTTCTGAGGTACGAGTCATCTCTGTATGTAGCAGTGTAAGTTTAGTATTTTTTTAGGCAGTAATACTGTTGGGATTTAGTACTGCTTTACAGAATTATCAGTTAGAAAACGAAAAGAAAGAAAAAAGCTTCCACTTAATTACATGCATTTAGCTACATACATGTTGTGGGGAGAAACTTGGATGAAGAAATGAGTTCTAGTCTGGGACATACATTTTCTTCAGTAGATGTATTCTTTTCTTTGAAAGATTTATTTATTAGAGAAAGAGTGAGTGTGCACACACACATGCGTGTGTGAGCAGTGGGGGAGGCGCAGAGAGAGAAGGAGAGAGAGAATCCCAAGCTGATTCCCCAGTCAGCGCGGAGCCCGAGTGGGGCTTGATCTCAAGCAATCAAGACCTGAGCCAAAACCAAGAGTCACAGGCTGAACTGACTGAGCCACCCAGGTGCCCCCTCAGGGAATGTATTCTTGGAGATTCATTGAGATTAACATTTTAAACTGTGCCTTTTGCAGTAGCTGACACTACAAGCATGGAATTACTGTGTGCCAGGCACTGTTCTCAGCTCTCTGTGTAAGGCCTCATTTAATTCTCACAGCCCTTCTTTTTTTCTTTAAGATTTTATTTATTTATTTGAGACAGAGTGAGAGCTAGACAGCAAGAGAGTGATAGAGCGTGAGCACACGCACGAGGAGGGAGAAGCAGGCTCCCAGCTGAGCAGGGAGCCTGATTCAGAGCTTGATCCCAGGACCCTGGGACCATGACTGACCAGAGCTGAAAGTGGACACTCAGCCGACTGAGCCACCCAGGCGCCTTCACAGCAGCCCTTCTGTACGTACTTTTATTATACCTATTTTACCAGGTGGGTAGCCAAGACTCACAGAGAGCA